AAAGCACTCCACCAGTGAGCCATATCCTCAGCCCTCTTTTTTTTTTTCATGATTTACTCTGAGACAAGGCTGACTAGGTTGCTCGGGCAGGCCTTGAGCCTACTATGTAGCTCAGATGTGCCTAATTCATGATCATTCTAGTCCAGTCTCCCAAGCAGCTGGCATTATAGGCCAGGACCACCACGCCTGACTCTGAATCTGCTTTTAGGCAAAGTTTTTCCCTTGGCCATTGTCTTCTCTTGCCTTTCCTCCCTGAACTTAGATGCTGTTCAATTCAAGTTGATAAATAATCCTTGGGTTCAGAGAGAGCTCAGTCCACATTTCTGCATTTGAGAAACAAAAGCTACCATGACACTTCCCTGGGGCTAAGCGAAACTACAATCTGACATCCTTAGGCTTCAGATCACTGGGGAAAGACCACCAAGTTAGAAATCAGTAGTCCGATTTGGGAACAAGACAACATCACCTCCCCATACTAGCCCTGTCAGAGCCACAGCCCGAGGGAAGGACAAAGAATTCAAACGTGTCATGGTATTGTCATAGTTTGATACTGCAGATGAGAGAATGTTTATTGGTATACAAGACTACAACAAAACACAAAATAATATGAACTGAGTCAACACCGGAGTGCTAGGATCTCACTCACAGACATGTGGCCTCAGTCCCTACTTCTTGAAAAAGATGGCCAGGCTCGTGACCATGACCCCTACCCCCCATCCCACCTTTTTCCTGAATCCAGAGTTTCTCTGTAGCTTTTGAGCCTGTCCTGGAACTAGCTCTTGTAGACCAGGCAGGCTGGCCTTCAACTCACAGAGATCCGCCTGCCTCTGCCTCCTGAGGGCTAAGATTAAAGGCATACACCACCACCGCCCGTCCGGCTCTGGATCCGGGATGTCTTTAATGAGCATTTCTACTTTTATATTCCTCAGTCAGCAAATTCCCCTCGCAGGCATTTCTCACATTGGGGAATTGCTAGTACCAACAGGACTGCTTAGTCCTAAACATGAACACCCCTCTGGGCTCCTCAAATACCTTCCAATCCACCCATCAGTCACTGGCTACTGAATCTGCCGCTTTTTCTTACCATCAATGTCTTAATCTAGGCCATCTTGTACCTGGGTCATAGTTCCTTATGGGTCTCTAACTTATCTTTTTGCCCTTGTTTTGGCTTTCTTCAATCTATCCAGTCCCAGCACATTGCTTTGCCTCCTCAAACACAAATTAAATACATGTTGCTCTTTGCATGAAGACCTTCAATAGAAATCAGTTGCTCACACAGGAGCGTGTAAACCCCTGCCCAGTTATCGAAGCCATTGACAATGCAGCTTCTACTCATCTTCAGTCTCGGTTCTTTTACTCTCCCCTTTGAATACAAATCCCAGCTACATGGAATGCCTTTCTGCTCCGCACATAGAGCTCTTGGCCCACGTAGCCTCCTCTTCTTTGTTTCTCCCTCCATCATATTCTTCTTACTAAGATACACAACACATGTGGAAAGGTTCAATTAGCACAAGCTGCATTCACATAACCATAACATAGTGAGTTTTCTCAATTAAACACATCCACATACTTTGTGCCCAGATCAAGAGCTGAAAGAGGCCCAGTATGCTGGAAGCTCCCCCAGGCTCTTTGGCCTGACCTCTGAGAAAAACAACTACCCCAACTTCAGATATTCATGGCTAGTTTATCCCGATTCTATACTCTGTCTAAATGAAAACTAGCCCGAAGTGAAAGCCTGTGTCAGCGTTCTGTTGATGTGTGATGATTCACTCGGAACACTTATGGCCTGGGATGACCTTGAGGTTCTAGCTTCGTCCGTCTCTGTCTCCGTCCCAGCAGCTGTCTTTTAAGTTAACGTTTCCATCATGCTTCTTGAGGACTTGGATTGTCTCTCACTCACCGCCCCCAGCCCATTGCATCAACCAATCGTATGCTTCCCTCCTCACTGTGGAGCCAAATGAACATGTTTTGGTCATTCTTTCTACTTGACCCCTCCACCTCCAACCCCCTTGCTTCAAGAGATTGCCAAATTCTAGTGGCTCGCCCTTTGAGGCCCCTGGTGCTTTGTCCCATTGTCTCCTCTCGTGGCCTCTCGTCTGGACTCTTCTGAGGACTCTTATTTCTGGCCTTCTTACTCCCAGTCATTCTAACAGACTTAAGTATGTTTGTCCTAAATTAAAATCTACACTCTTTCACACCCACCACGGAATGAAACCAAAGCGCTACCAAGGCAAAGGGCTCTTTTCACCTGTTGCTGTGGTCTTCTTTTCTCTGCTTTCTGCAGAATACACACCCTGTGCTTCAGTCATGGCGAATCTGCCCTCCCATGAAGCTCTCTGGAGCTTCTGCGCTAGAAATGCCTTTTCTCACATTCTTTAACATCTAAACGTCAACACATGCTTTACATTCTCTCTCCAATGCCAACTTCTTGGTCAAACCGTGTAACGGAAGCCGCTTTCCCTGGTCCCGTTTCCTACTATGAATATTCATACAAAGAAATCTCATCAGGACAATGAGAGCGGTGCTCCAGGACAGCATCTTCACTTTGTTCTCTGATAACGCCCACCACACCAGAGGTCTCAGTCAAAGTTGCTAGATAAATGAAAGGATGTTTAGCATGTGTTGAGCACTTATTGTGACAGATGCTTTCGTGTATAATTTTAGCCCATCCTCACTGAAGCCCTATGAAGAAGGTGCTGGTTTTGTGCCAACTTTACAAGAGCGTTTTGAAAAAGAAACTTGCCGCAACTGTACAGTTGACACATGGCGACGCTACAAGCAAACCCCTAATTGCCCACACCCTAGTGACCTCAGCTTTATAGTCTGAGCTTTGTCCGCCATGATACTCTGCATGGATTTCTACTGTGGCTTCCAGTGGTCATTAGCAGACCACTATGACGTGGAGATTGAGGCAGCACCTCTCCACACATTTGTCTCTCCACTACTCTGCAAGTGTGGTAGGAACAGGAGCTGGGTCTATTTTATGTCTTCCCTGCCTCCCAAACCCCAGGCAGTCAACACAGCATCTTATACACGTTTATGTCAACTACATGTTTATCGGATGAAACAACGGGTGTCGTGTTCAAAGGCAGCTCTTGGCAGTCAGTCCTTTTTGCACAATCCGTGATGTCTGAGGAGATTTTTCTGATGGTCGTCCTGAATCCAGGCCCAGCTGCTGCCTCTTCTAAACCCGTGCTTCTTCAGCATGATGTAGGCTCAGGGCCATCCCTGGCTGACCCAGCCTCCACCCCAGCCCGGCCCCCTGCCATCCTTCCTGTCCTCAGGAAACTCCTCTGTCTGTCTTCCTGCTCTAGGCAGCTGATCTTCCACAGCAAGTCTGACCCACCCTCCCCTTTTCCTGACCTCACACCCAGCTTGAACCCTGCTGTTTCCCTGGTCATTCCGCAGAGGCAAAGCAACATGACACTCTCGGAGATAATTTTCATACAGAGAGTGATAAACAGAGTCATGAGGTATGAGTGAAAAAAAAATAGCTAAATCATTATCTTCCCCCCCCCCCCGTATTTACTTTTCTTCTGTAGGTTTGGCAGTTATTTATCATTGTTGAATGTAATAGAAACAGGAGCAGTTAAGCTAAAAGAGGAATCAGTAGAAGGACAAAGAGATCTAGGCTGGGACTGTAGCTCGGTGGCAGAGTGCTTGCCTATACATCAGATGCTGTGTTCAAACCATATTATAAGAGTAATCGCCATGTCTCAAGAACCTCCAAGGTTGATGTGTCACTAGGTTCCCAGAAGAGATGGAAGCAGAACCAAGCAATAGTCCAGCTTGAGCAGGACTCCTCTTCCTGGTTTGGAAATGTACACTGCCACTGTGCATTTGGTTAGCCGTGTCTTTCCGTGGCTCTGGGCCAGAGACACTGAGTTTATGCATGGCAACCATCTCTTGGGAACTCCACGTTATCGGCCCAGAATGAGTCAGGTGCCTACCCGTGGTCTAGTGAGGATGGTGCTATTATACAACGTGGCTTCCAATGGCTTATCTTGGTAGGAAAGACTGATATAGAAAGGGTCATTGCAAGCTGAGAAAACTCCAAAATTGTCTACCACTCTTGATTATAAACCAAGAGTATAGAAAAGATAGGAAGGATACAGATGCGAAAGGATTCTGTCTGTTTCCCCCAGATAGAGTGAATTAAAAGGCTCTGTGTATCTGTATATCAAAGAAATAATTCTTATTTCTTTGTTTGAGAAAAGGTATTGCTATGTTGGGGTGAGATGCCAAGCCAACTCTGTCTTTGACATTTCTTATGAAGAAAAATACACAAATATAGACTGCCATTTAGCAAATGTGACAATGATTAACTAAGATGGCATTAATACAATGTCACATTCCTTTGAAGGATGGGATTTAGGCCTCACACAGGTCCTTCACAGAGCTCCTGCGGTCTGCTAAAGAGGGAAAAAGAGAGGACAAACAAGGCCAGGCTGTGCCCTCCCTGCTCATGTCTTATACAAATGAGCTCCACTCTCCCAACCAGCTTCCAGCTCAGGCCTACTAAGCCCGTGTAAGCAAGTCTCGGGAAACTGACTCCTCTCCTTTACAGAGTTCAGTACCCCCTCACTCGGAGAAAGCCAGCCTTGGCCACAACTTCCTTTTTGTGATTTGAAGGTACAAGAGCAAGAACTGAAATAAATCCATGTTTCTTTCTTTTCTTGCCTTGTCTCCCAATGGCCCTTCATTCTACGCCTGGGTAGGGGTCATATGGAAAGTCAATCTAATGGAATGGAGGAGCTCCAGCTTCAGGTTGCCAAAAGAAAAGAGAAAATCCAAAGGCCCACCCTTCCTAGCTTCTGCCCTCTGGACACCTCTCAGTAGCTTAGAGGGACAACACAGGACCCCGTAGGACACAGATTCAGCAAGCTATGAGGAGGTTGGACTAGGCTCTGTTCTTAAGGAGGGATCTCGTGACTCTGCTGTCCAGACAATTGTATTGTGCCCAGACATTGTCAGCGGTGTCTCTCTGACTTGTCTTTCAGGCTCTCTGGGTACAGCAGGCCGCGTGTGCAACTTGACTTCCCGAGGTATGGACAGCTGCGAAGTCATGTGCTGTGGGAGAGGCTATGACACGTCCCACGTCACCCGGATGACCAAATGTGAGTGTAAATTCCACTGGTGCTGTGCTGTGCGCTGTCAGGACTGCCTGGAGGCCCTGGATGTGCACACGTGCAAGGCCCCCAAGAGCGCTGACTGGACGACCCCTACATGACCCCAGCAGAGGGCATCGTCTGCCTTCCTTCCCTCAAGGACTCCAATTGCACCTGCAAGGACACTGGACTTCTGTGTTGTCTCCGGGGGGCTGTTTCTTCAGGCATATGGCCTTCTCGCCACAGAAACCCCTTTTCCCTCTCTGGGAGCCCCAGGACATGCTGCATAGAAGTATACCCTGTTCTGTCTATCTTGAGCATTCTAAGGTCACCTCTCTTCTTCCTGCTGACTTCTTTTTGGAAATGACATGACAGGCTGTTTTAGGAGGAGGGTCACGGGCCCCCACCACTGTCACCTAGACATTTCCTCTTTCCTCTTTGGCCATGGGGAGAAACAACATCACATAGTAGAGGATCTTTCTCTGTGTCTTCCCACAGATTATAATAGATAAGAAAGTCCAGGCTTTCCTCTGGGGGTGGGGGTGGGTATGGAAAACAGAATCAACTGTACCAAATTGACTTGTATTTGTTAAGAAGACCAACCAAGGGCTTTTCTAAGTAATAACTGTTGCTACTGTCCTTGATGATTGCCTGGAGAAGAATGGCTTTCAATAAACATCAGGCTAAAAACACATATGTTTCCAGAGAATTTGTTCAATGTTAAACTCTGATATAACAAGGTAAGAATGCTTGTCCTTCGAGCCAGCGTTTGGCTTGAACTTCCCTGTCAGCTAACACATCAGAAAAGTGATTGTTGTTCCTCACTGTCCCCTCCCTTTGAGGACTCGTAAGAGATGAGACTTCTCAATGTGCTGGAGAGAATTTGAGGGGGGATGGATGATCTGATCTGGCAGTGTTCTTTAACTATGAGATAAATATGGTAAAATAATAACAATAATAACTTAGTGGGTGGACTATCAGAAATGTGCTTGTACAACTAAAGAAAAAGAAGGCAACAGAGTCCCAGTGTGAGTGTGTGCACAATACCAGCAGGGTTCTTGGCTAAGTCTACCTTGTGGATGCACACTGAGAAGCGAGGCCAGTGTGATGCTGACAGAGATCTGCAGAGCCAGGACCCTTCTCCGTACTCAGACGCCCAGGAGAGCTATTGAGGAGCATTGGCTAGGACCCACCAACCTTAAGCCCTGACACTTTCAGTTATGTTTGTTTGAGGTTTACAAGCTGATGTGATAGTCCAGTCTAGAGAAAGCAGCACGCAGCCTGGCCTTTCAGTTGGCAACAGGGCCATATTACATTGCAAGCAGTTTGTATCTGGGAGACTATGTTTAACTAACCCAGTTGTCGTTATGGGAATATCAATGTGGAGATGGCGATTGACTCCTGCCAGGAGATGACACTCAGAGAAAATGGAGAGGCTGCCTAATCCTTTTTTTTTTTAATGCTAGATGAAAGAAAGTGAACTTGATAAGGCTGCTTCTCAGCCTGCCGTCCAGTGTGGTTCCTGTTCCTCATATAGTGTCCTCCTAGAGCTATACTAACTAACAGGATGGTTGTACACCCAGCAGCAAACTGCTGCTTGCTCATTGGTTCACGCTTTGGGCTTCATCTTTCCGTCCTTGTCTAAGTCATTCAGCCTGAGGCTTGTGGGACGCCAACTGCAGGTGTTCTTTGTCAGAGCTGGTATGAGCCTCCTAGCCTTCTTAAAAATGACTTGACTCCTGTACTCCCCCCTTCCCGTTCTCAACAACCATTCTGGTGATTGGGGTCAAATCAGGCCTCCTCATTGCCGGGTAAGTGCTCTGCCCCCAGCCACATCTACAACCTTCCTCTATTTTTATTTTAAATTTTCTATTCATTTTACCTACCAAGCACAGTTCCCCCTCCTTCTCCTCCTCCCACTTCACCCCCAACTCTCTCCACCCTACCCTCCAGCCACTCCTCAGAAAGAGCAAGGTCTCCCTTTGGGGAGTCAACAAAGCCTGGGGCATCAAGTTGAGGCAGCGCCAAGCCCCTTCCCCCGCATCAAGGCTGAGCATGGCTCCAAATAAGCCAGCTCATATACCAGGGATAGCTCCCGGTCCCACTGCCAGGGGCCCCACAAACAGAACAAGTCACACAACTGTCACCCACAGGCAAAGAGCCTAGTTTGGTCCTATACAGGCTCCCCAGCTGTTGGTGCAGAGTTCATGAGCTCCCACAAGCTTGGGTCAGCCGTCTCTGGTTTTCCCCATCATGATCTTGACCACACTTGCTCATGTTATCTCTCCCCCCCTCTCTGACTGGACTCCTGGGAGCTCAGCCCAGTGCTTAGCTGTGGATCTCTGCGTCTGCTTCCGTCAGTTACTGGATGAAGGCTCTATGATGACAATTAGGGTAGTCACCAGTCTGATTACAGGGGAAGGCCAGTTCAGACCCCCTCTCCACTGTTGCTAGGAGTCTTGACCAGGGTCATCCTTGTGAATTCCTGAGAATGTCCCTAGCACCAGGAGTCCCTCCAACCCCACAATGGCTCCCTCCTCCATCAAGATATCTCTTTCATTGCTTTCCCTCTCCATCCTTCCCCCAACTCAGCCATCCCATTCTTCTCATCCCCCTCTTTGTATTTCATGGACACAGTAAGCAGGAATAACAGGGCAGGAAAGTGGATCTTCCATGCTTCGCATGGGGATCAGGCTAGTTCCCAGCTCCCCGTTGTCCAGGGTCCCTGGGAAGCTCTCATGAGAGGCCCAACTCCACTAGCTAATAAAAGTGTCACGTAGGTTGTTAGGAAGAGCTATTGTTATTTAGAAGTCGGCATTTTCTGTGTAATCAAAACACAATAAAGTGAATTTTTGGTGTTAACTTTGCTATTTTAGACTCTTGGCAATCTTGCCAAACCTCTGCTAAGAAATCAGGTTATGTGAACTCTTCCCTCGTCTTTGCTCAAGACCATGATCAAGAGACATCTGTCATGTTTATAGAGTTCCCGAAAAACAGCCGACACACTTTACTCATGGCTGTTTCGTGGGAGTGAATAAATAAGACTACGTTCAGGATTGGAATATTATTCTTTTATTTGCTGTGTTTCACTATGACTGCTATGCAAAGGCGGCATCATCAGAGTGTCTCTTTGGGGTACCTACTGCACACTCAGCAGCCTCCCAATCACTGCTCTTCATGGATACTGAAATGCCATCTTCTCACCTTGATTAGAAAGGTGAAACCGTATGACCTTTCATTGCAATTTGCCCATAATGTAGGCTAGTTCAAGCAGGAAAAGTGAGTTGCATGATAGAAACTCTCCCCAGCAACGGCAATCCATTCTTCCATGTTCTCTTCCCTGCTAGGCTAGGTTCTAAGGATTATAGGACTTGGCAATAATGTTCCTAAACTTTAAGCATCTCAAGGTGGCACTCCATGGTAGAGATGCTCACTAGCCTTCTGGTACTCGGTTGTCTCTTCCAGAAATTCATACAGCTTAGATTATCTGAAAAAAAGATGATTTTCATAAAGACATTTACTTCTTTCTCTTTCTTTCCTTCTTTCTTTCTTTCTTTTTTTTTTTAGCTTTTTTGTTTTTGTTTGTTTGGTTTTTGAGACAATATTTCTCTGTATTGTCCTGGCTATTTTGGAACTTGCTTTGTAAAACAGGCTGTCCTGGAACTCACAGAGATCTGCCTGCTGGGATTAATTCCAAGTGCTGGGACTAAAAGCATGCACCACCACTGCTCAGCTATCTAAGGACATTTCAACAAAATATTTTAAACCAAAAGCTGTCAACAGAAGTTTCCTGTTCTTAAACCCTTTTTTGTAAGGGAAATGACCTATACAGGGTAGGCAGAAGACAGACTGGTCTATAGCTAGAAGATGCCAAAAGCAAGGTCCTTCACTTCTAATTGTGACAACCAAGTACATTCAGACGTTAACAAGATGTCCCCTGATGGAAGAGGAAGGGAGAAGGTGGTATAAATGGTCCTTAGTTAAGTGCCAATGGTCTAACATTTTGAACTGGTCCTCATAAGATTTCAGTTAGGAACCCGTCTCCCTTCCCCTACCCTATAATTCCCAGTATTGGTCTATCAGACAGGCCGAGAAAGAATCCTCTTGAAAATGTGCAGTCTTAGAGCCCTCAGCCTATCACAGCACACAGAAAAGGGGCTATGTACTGAAGCTCACCCAGGCCTACGCTCCATGTCCCACGGATCCGAGAAAGCATGAAGTGTCTTGGTTTTAGCAGCTGGAAGCATAATTCTTAGGAATTCTTCAATTTCACAATGTTTCATTTTTGTTTTCTTTTTAAGCAAAAAACAAAAGCCACAAGATGTATCCTGGAAGGCGGGGGAGTAAGAGCATTAGACCTCAGCTAGCTGAGTAATTTTGAGTTCCTCAGCGCACTCATGGGGAGGGTAGGACAGAGGAGAAACTGCAGAATACGAAAGGCCTGACTTTCAAGTGAAGGGAGCTGGGTTCCAAGCCAAGGCCACAGTGCCAACTGCTCTTACTATAGCTGTAGATTGCAGGGAGCCTGGCCCCCCTGGACAGTCGCCAGCCATCATTAAAGCACTTGTGTTAGCGATTTTATCCTTATTGTGACCAAGGTGCCTTCCATAAATGACTTAGGGAAGAATAAGTTATTGCAATTTATGGTTTCAAAATGTTTAGTCAATGGTGACTTGGCTTCAGGTGTTTGGTTAGAACATGGCCCTGTGAGCATGTGACACAGGAAGCTTCTTGCTTCATAGCAGTTGGTAAGCAGAGGACAGGGTATAACCAAGGTGCCAGGACAAGATACAGCCCCAAGAGGCACACCCAGTAATATATTTATTCCAGCGAGGCCCCACCTCCTACCCTTACTACCTCCTTCTACTAACGTGAGGATATGATTCCTTCAGGGATCTAATCACTCATTAGGTAAGAGTCCTCATGATCCAATTACCTCTGGAAATATTATCACACACTTCTCTAGGGATGGACTTTATGTATCTTCTGACGTTTTTGATCCAATTAGGTTGACAATCAAAATTAAACCATCACAGCACTATAAAATACATTTAAATCACTGCTAATGTCAACAACAACAACAACAAAACACCTCTTTTGTAAGTATGCCATTGAATGCTTATTTTTTCTTTTAATGAGATAAGGTGCCGGGGGTTTGGACTACTTACCTTCCGGACAGCTCTTAGCTCTTGGTGCCCTTGCTGCACTGATAGATGTATCAGCAGCTAGACTACTTGTGCCTGCATTGGCTAACTTGGACATGCTACAGAAGCTTTGAAGAAGCTACACGGCAACCATAGCTGCCTGCCACTGAAACCCTGATCTGGCTTCTAAAAGGCACTGTTCAAGGCATGACTATTTCAAGTAGCACACACTTGATTTTTGGCGTTGCAAGTGTCAGTGTATTAAAAAGTGACTCTTACTCTGCAAATATTTTCACCCAGGGATGCTTCCAGCAAAAGGCCTGGGATTGGTACAATTCATTCCCATGGAAGCCTGCCATCATTGGTGCATCCTCTTCCTAGCTGTATAAAAAAGAGGTTTGACTCCTTTGTAAGCCAGCTGAGAGATGCCCTCCTCTTGAGTGACCTTTTCTTGTCTACTTTTTACTTTCCTCCTCACTAGATGAGCTTAAACTGATAGATAACACAGGTGGAAACGGCAGTGCGACCGTGGCGATGAAGCGGAAGTAGCAGCGTCAGTGACAAGAGAAACAGTGAGAGAATACCTGGGAAGCTGCAGCGAGCTTCCGGGGCTAGAAGGAGACACAACAAAGACAATGAAGCTGTGAAGAGCTGAAGAGGAGAAACTGTGGACCCTGTTCACCAGAAAAGGTCCAGACGGCTACCAAGTCTTAAAATGTCAAAAAACTCGGTCATAGCAACCGTTAATAACAGCTATAACAGTGTAGGAAGCGTTATCGTATTAGACGTTATAAGGGGCTAAGGATCCTAAAGTCACGGGGCCCGAGAGCTCTGACACTTGTTGCTCTGTGGAAGGTTCTCACGCTGGAAGGCCGTGAAAGCTATAGCCGTAGGAGACGCCACCTACTGCTGCTGTGAGCTGAGCATTACAATAGCTGCCGAGTTCTGGGCACCACTAGGTTTCAAGGCCCAGAACAAGAAGACTCCAACCTGATTTGCTTGAGTCTTAAGTCTGGATCCTAAAGCCCAGAGCACTAGGCCCTGAACTCTTCACAGGAGGAGTTCAACAGCCCTTAAATCAGAGGCACTCTAAGACCCACGGTTTCCAGCATGAAAACAGCTTCCCGTCTCCCACTCACAATTTCTGTTCAAGTAGTGGAGAGGTCCTTCAGAGGGCTCTCTGAAGTGGATAGGAATTGCTGAGGCTAACCTTACGTGAGTGATATTCGGATAACAATGTAAATGAGTGGTTCTGGGGAGATGGGGGACACGGAGAGAGAGCTCAGTTGGCGGATGACAGAACCCCTAGCCCCATAAACGAGAGAACTTGGGGCAGGTGGAAACTGGCTTATGGAAGGAATCTGAAGGCCTAACTTTTTGATTTGATAACTTTTTTCATGGACCAAATTAAATTTCCATTTAATGCTGCCCAAAGAAGTGATGAACAGTGAGAACCACTTGAATCAACAAATAGTTCACAGTCTGTTCCCTCGTGTTATCATCTAGTTCTAGAGAATTGTATAATTACAGTTAATATTTGTAAGAACAAATTAACGAGAAGGAGTCCATGAACTTGAGAGAAAGTAGGGGAGAGATGTGCATGAGGAGGTTGTAGGAAGGGAAGAGGAGGGAGAAACTGATGTAATTATGTTTTAATTTCAAAAAATAAAAAAAAAACAGAATTTAAAATCTGATCAATGTAATCAGTTCACATTTGGGCTATGTTTGGCCTCCACTTGATTTTGCATTTCTGAGTACCAGTTGGCCCTGTGAACGCCTTTGTAATTGAATTACAATCTCTGGATTTCCCCAGACAGTCCACCCATTCCTATTTTAATAGCATCATGGGCTTTCTTAAGTTCTCAGAGGAATCACATTACTGTCTGCAAACCCAATTCACATAATCAAATGACAGGAATGCCTCTGGTCTCCCCTCAGCTAGTTGCTTCCAACAGTCAAGTCAGCAGACCCTCACCAAGGTATCTGTAAATATCTGGGGACTTGGGGTTACAGGTGGAGGTCCTTTGACGCTCAGGTGAAACAGGCAAATCTAAACCGGAGTCTCCAAGAGTCTCCCCTCCCGCAGAAGCTTTGGCACCTGCCCCTCGCTCCTTATCCTCCAAAAGCAACGAAGGCCTTGAACTCTGAGTCGTTATTTTGGAATCGTGATTTAAAAAGACAATATTCCCAGCCAAAGTAGCCCTAGACAGAGAAGGGAGTGTGGGTTTCATTTTCCTATACGTTGCTGTAACTATAAACAATGCCTTATCATCGCAAAATTTCTCATGAAATAATAAGCTCTGGTGTTTTTGAAAGTATTTACACCAGCCCTTGGAGAGTTTCTTAGAATCATGATTCACAGATGAGAAATTTTCCTCTTCTACAGGGTTTAGTAATTGGCACGGGAACCACTCAGTAGATCGTCTACACAAATGAATTTGGACAGTCCTTCTGGTAACTATTCATTAACAAGTCTTTTACTTTTTCTCAAACTGAGTGGATGACGAAGTCAAGATAATCTCTACTTCACATATTATAGACTGATCATTCAATATTTTCTGTAAATTGGATTGTTCTATCCTGGAGATGACACGTAGGTGCAGTGAGATCACAAGATACTTTCGGGATCCTGAGAGTAAGAATTTCTGGGATCACAGAGTGTCACATTTGTAAGGAACTTCACAGATCATTTATTCCAACCTTTGCATCTTATTAATGTGAAACAAAAGAAACTCCATGGTTTGAAGTAAGATGTTAGCAAGAGACTCTGAATCATGTTTAGAAAGAACATTTGTTAATCACCCAGTGAGTCTGCATTGAGCATCCCCTGTGAGTCAGCCAGTGTGCTACATTCTAAATACACAGCGGGGAGTGAGAAGGACACACACTTGCTCATACTCAGAAAAGACAGTTATTATTCACTCAGTGATTCTGTATTGAGCATCCCCTGTGAGTCAGACTGTGGACTACCCTACTAGAGATCAGCAGAGACCGAGGCAGACCTGGAGTGTCTGGAGGCACTGCCAACACCAAGAACTTATTATTGTGTGAGTTTGTTCAGGAGCATGATTGGGCTTAATACTTAGAACCATTCTTAGATCTGGATATGATTATCTTCATATTTGAGCTGAGACAAATTTCAGAAAGATTTAGGAATTGGCTTAAAGGCATAAAGAACTCAAAATCTTGGAAACAAGCGTATAACCAAAGAAACAATATGATTTTTAATTCAGTTTATAAGACAACAAAATCCTTCACAGAGTCACAATTAACAGAGCTCTACCAGGAATTAGGTCACTTCTCACCAAATATTTTAAAAGATGCTTTTGTCCAAACTCAAATGAGGTATGCCTAGAGAAACCTAGATTACAGTCATGAGAAATCTACTTGGATGTGGAGATTCAGTCTATAGATGAAGATGCTTCTAAAACATCACTTATCAATGTAAAAGTAGCCTGAGTCATGATATATTTAAATTTTCTCTGAGCTCTTTCCTAATGTTTCATGGATTAGGTGAAATGAACTTGCCAATATATATATTCTTTTTTTTTTGTACTCCTCGCACACAAAAAAAGGGACAGAATTTTTTTAGCAACAATGCCTAAGAAATACTTTTCAGAATTGTCTTCAAATGTAATAATGTATTTTGAATAGTTTTGAAGGCACAAAGTGCATATACGCATAATCTGGCATTCGTTTGCAATAACATTTTTACTTTGCTTGACATAAAATATGGGTACTCTCTGTCTCCATAAGGGAAATCGGGAAGATGTTTATAACACCAGGTGATTGGACAAGGGTTCTAGGAACAACAGGTTTCCCTGCCCCCCTTTTATCCAGCAAGCTTGGAAGAATAAGGTAGGTTTCCAGTAGTGACCTTTAATTGACCTCTAGTTGACCGTTTTAACCTGTGGCTGGGATTATTCTGACGGTGGCCAAATTCCTCAGAGCTAAATCTCTTCAGAAACTGAGGAAGCCCGGGGCAAGTCCTGACATGAATATGTGAGGAGCCTGCGCGAGCCAGAGAGCCAATCCTGCCTAAGTGGAATCTTAAACGAGGGGTCAAGGGACAGGGTGGAGAAGTTTTATTACAATTTTCCTAAAAGTGTATGGAACAGATTGACACTCATGTTTATTTATAATGTCGGAAAACTGCCCACAGACATGCATTTTGACTTGTGAGAAAACTGCTAAGCAGTGTGGGGTCATGGAGAAGGTAGAACTATACACCCACAAAGAAACACATCAACAAACAAATAAACAAATAAAAGATAAGAAATTTAATCCCGGTTAGAACATGATTCATTGCTTTGGAGCAATAAACAGTGAAATGATATCCAAAAGCAATTTTTCCACTTATTGGACACATGAGCAATTTTCCTTATAACTATAGCAGATTCTTTCAAAGATTATATTGACACCCATGGGAGGAAACTCACCCCAAGTGTCATTTTATTTATTTACTCATTCATTTATTTGTTTCAATACATTTTTATTGAAACAAAATTGCATCACTTTCCCCCCTCCCTTTCCTTCCTCAGCCCCTCTAAGGTACCCTCTTTTCAAGCCCCACGTGTTCCCCCATTCCCATTCTTTTTCTTACATGCATTATACATATTATGTAGACATGTGCACACATATTTAGAGCCTGCTCGTTTTGGCATGGTGATTGTGTGTATGTGGTTTCTCATCTGACCATCTACATCACAGCTCCTACATGGAAGATTCAGTGAACGTCTCAGAAGAGGGGGAGAAAAATTGTAAGAGCCAGAAAACCAGAAGTCTTCTGCAAAGCATCCCCTCCTCAAAATGGCGGCATCAGCAAGATAGGAAGAAGGGCATTTTCATGCTCCAGTGGAGGGGACACTTCACAGAGTCGCACCCCTACACAAAGAACTATAGGCAGCTAGTGACTCTGGGAGGGAGAAAAAATAGCCTCTCCCAGGCATGAGCCCCCTTGGGTCATTTCCTTTTTATTACTTTCAGTGGGGCTTTAAAAATCTCACCCATACTTAAGGCTAGGCCTCAGGTGCAGCAGAAGATACCCAACACAAAATCAACTCAACAGTATTTTTCTACACTTTTTGGCTTGTAGCGTTTTGTTTAGGGTGTTTTGTTTCGTTTGCCTTAATGGTCCTTTGCTTGCTTATTATGGTTTCTGATTTTGTGGTTTTTATGGGTTTTGTTTTTATGAGTGTTTTTTGTGGGTTTTTTTTTTTTTTCTTCATCCTGGTTTGTTCGTGTTTTTGGTTTTTTGTTTGCTGGCTTGTTTCCCTGATTGTTTGTTTTATAAAGAGAGAAAAATAAAAAGCCTGGAGTTGGGTGAGTGGAAATGTGGGGAGAACCTGGGAGATGTTGGGGGAGGACAAATTATGATCAGATATATCACCTGAAAATAATTTTTTCAATTAAAAAAAAAGTCACCATTAACAAAGCTACCAGGGATTGATACTATTTCCAAAAATTTCTTTTGAAAATGCATGGATTTTATTTTATGCATTTATTTATATTACTTTTTGCCAGGTACTAAACCCAAGGCTATGAAACCCAACAACCCCAGACCTACATGTTATGCTTTAATAATTCATTATTCAATAACCGCCTGGCATAACTGTCTGTTACTATTTCCTCTAGTATTTGGAACCTATCATTGAATAAGGATTCCTACTAATATTGCAAACCAAATGTTCCTTTCCTACCCCCTGAAAATCTTCTTGCTGCGAAATGCCCCTTATTGGGGTGAAATAAGCATCCTTCAGAATGCCTGGGAATTCTACCAACGCCCACAACCAGGCACAGGTGAAGTAAGCCTCCTTCAGAATGGCATGGGGATTCTACCAACACCCACAACCAGGCACAAGGGTGTTTCTCAGACCAGAAAAAGAAGAGAAA